GAGCGCCGCCGCACTTCCCAAGCGGCGCACTATCCAGTGCGCCACCGGGCCGGCCCCAAACTCCATTACTTTTCTATATATATACTTTACTGTGCCCAAACTGGATCACAATTCATACCCCCACTATACCTTTTTAAAGTCTAAATCAGGTCCTTTCAGTATCTTGTTTAAAATTCTTGCAGTATCTTCCATCATGCAGGAAAAAATCTGGGCAGCTGTGCTTTGGAGGCCTCGCTCCCCTCCTCTGTCCAGCTGGACCCCACCTCTGCCTTTTTGCAAAGCTTGTCCTTCTAAAATAGAAATAAGATCCTGTCAGTCCCCTGCTTAAAACCCTCCAGGGAGTGCCAGACTTCTTAACAGTGCCAAGCTGGTAGCCGCCTGTTCTCCTGTGCTGGCTCCCTCTCTGCGCATCCTCCAGAGTGCAGGTGCTTCCTGTGCTGAGGCCCAGGCCTGCCCCTCCCGCCTCACTGTGGCCCCAGTCCTGCCCTTCATGACCTCCTAGGCCTCCCTCCCCTGGAAAGGGCTTCCTGGACCACCGCCTGCTACCTCCAGGGCAGGTGGGTATGCCTCCATCATCGGTGCTCCGGGAGCACTTGCTGTCCTTGCAGCGCTGTGTGGCTGTGTGCCTGCAGCCAGGGCTCAGTCCTTACCTGCTTCCTCACTGGACAGCCTCAGCCCGGGGGCTGTTCCCTTCATGTCTGCGCTGCCACTGTTTAGCACAGCCCTGACACACAAAGGTGCTCTGTGCGTGTGTTTCATGTGAGTGAAGACTGGCAGTTTACTTAGTCTTTCTCAATGTGCACATTACTCCTCTGTTTATCTTGCTCTATAGTTTGCTCTATAGTTTTGCAGTGATTTTATTTCTCAAGTTTTTTTTTACTAGGAAAGTAAATCATACAATGTTCTAGTTTCAATTATTCTCCTTGTTCACTTTCTAATAAGTAATACATGGTGCATATTCATATTAGTTGAATTGAACGGAATTAAAATGAGCATTTTAGCACCTATTTCTTCTGTGAATTCTCATAAGATAGCTGTGTGCACTCTCTAAATTTTGAGCAACTGCTTTTCAATTAAAATGCAACTTTCAACTATATGTAGCACATCAGCAATTTTGTGTAGCATTGCCGTGCAAAAAGTGTATATTAACTAGTGATAGTTTAAATGAATTTTGCTTAAGTTCGTATTTTCCTCAGTGATATTAGCATATATTGGGCATTTACTGTTGGCACTGAAATTATTCTCATTTTATTTGGTATGTGTTTGGGTTATTAAATTATTTGCGATGTTTCTGTGAGAACAGAAAAAATTATGACACAGCCACTCCAAGTGTCATGCACTTTAATGATTACCACAACAAATTAGAATTGTCCACTAAGCTTCAGTCTCCACACACAGTGGTTCTTATTGGTCTTCACTGAAAGTTCTGATCGTTACCGAGAAACAGGATTTACTTGCCACCAATACAGAGGAAGACTTTCTGCTCTTTGCGGCCCTCTCTCAGACATGCTGCTTCTCTTAACAAATGATAAGGCTTCCCTAGTGCGCTGAACACCAGCTACAGCAGGGAAGAACTCCTGTTGGGGTGGGATTCAGGCCTTCTTTCTCATCAATTCACCTTCTTGAGGGGGTCTTTGCAAAAGAGACATTCATGATGTCCTAGACGTCCTGAAGGGCCTTGTTAGGTCACAGTG